CATACAATTTTAGCATCTACTTGCCACGATACGATGCTGTGATACTAGTTAAGTAAATATTGATTAATGAATGATGGATACTTTTGAATAGTCTGTCATGTGCATATTTGATGTTTTAATTTTGTTGGCTTGTAGTTAATTCTGCAGCAGTAGAATGGTCGTATAAAAAACGAACCATTGTAAGTTAATTTACTGTAGATTGAAAGATATGTTAAACACTAATAATTATAATTGAGCCGTATAGAATCGGAAGATGAGCATTTTAGCATTACATAATCCGTAGCTACCTTACACTAAAATTCGCAATAGAAATCTATTTAAGTGCACATGGCTGTAAAATAAAAGTGGTAATTTTTACGTAGGGTACTGGAGCTGCAATATGAAGAAAAGTGTAGCAATTAATTAGTTATCTGTGAAGTAATGCCAAGAAATCGAGTTCTCATATATGGTTCGCATAGAGACTGAAAATACTAGAGGTAGTAGCCAGAGTTATCATCCTACACTAGAGTTCTTAACAAATCTTTGCCTATAAGTGAGGATTGTGACACTACTATACTACATTAACTTATCATCAAATAGCATTTAAAATAATCGGGGAAGTACCATAGATAAAATATTATAATATTAAATCTGAAGCTATTTTAAAGCAGAAGGAGTACAAAGGAAGGTACATCGTTCTTAACATGGATATAAAGATAAATATAATTGGAAAGCAGTGAAAAGAAAATCGAGGTACTAGTACTCCACATGGAAATCACGTCATTATTAATAAACGGCTTTAGAATAAAATATCAATTTAAGTCATGATTAATTATATAATCAATTATGCAGTAGATAATAATAGATATCCTACATGTTTATTTTATTGTCTATAGTATTACAATGAACTTTTACAGTTTGTACTTCTTTCGTGATTGAAGTTTATACAGTTTGATTTAAAAATTAAACTTGGCATTTATAAAAAAAACTACGCCATAATTGAAATTGTCAAGCGATAACATCTTGATTTTTAATAATAACATATTTAATGCACAATGAATGTTGTTTCTATGTATTAGCTATATCTTATTAAAACTTATTACTGTCATATATTGAGATCTTGATCAAGTACGTAAAATTTTATTAATATTAACGTGAATTTACGAAATTAAATTTTTATCATGACCAATTATATTAGATAAAAGTTCATGCTTTAGATAAATGTGATAGTCCGTAGTAAGTTGTAATATAGTACCCAAGTTGATATTTGCTATTTGCGTTGCTTTAAGCTGAAAGTTTTATATTTAGTAACAATGATTTCCTTATACTAAGTATTCACTCGTGCGTTATCAGAGAATGATCAAAACAAATTTTATACAATGGGTCGCATAACATTAGTATTATGATTATGTTGCAATTGCTAATGAATTTTTGCTCATGTTTTCTTACTGAATCAGCTTTACTAGAAAGATAATAATGCAACAATAGATTGAGTATCGCTTATAATTACAACAGTCGTGATTTTTCTGTTTGACAATAAAATTTAGCGTATAATGCATTTAACTTTTCAATTATATTACATTATTACGTATTATAAAAGTTTATAAAAACTTTTTATTTGTAAGATCTCATTAATGAGTTCATTAATACTGGCATAATTTTAGTACATCTTATATCAGATTGAGAAATATGTCAATCTATGATTATAATTATTATATAGCTTTTGCAACGCTGTAACAGCAAAAGTGCAGATGGATATTTCTCAAAAAGTATAGTTTTTGTTTGAGAATGGCAAAGTTTCTCGATCTAGTATTTACAGATATAAAATAATAATTCTCAATATTTTGTTTCAATTCCTTCAATTAATATTTATTACTAAGACCCCATTTATGTCAGTGGTTTTGTATTGTAACACTCTACTACCGCATATACATGTTTCTATCATCACATTTATATGATGAGCGACAGATTTTAACGTTACGTGATTTTTCTAAATAGAAAGTATATTCTTTCTGTCCTAGTAAAATGATTACGCATTTATTTAAGCATTAGCCTTGATTTAACTTATTATAGTTGCTTAGACAGTTTTAAGAATTATTCACAACTCGCTGGACTTTTACTTCGATATTAATCAAGTAACCTTAAAAAATTATTTATCTAATGTATCTCTGTAATACTGATAACGCCAAGTTTAAATCTTTTCCTTATATGTTGCGTTTTATATGATTTCCCTTTTATGATGCATGCTACCATTTTCTTACATAAAAATGCCTTACTTCATTTTTGCACGGTCATGATCTTTATTACTCAATCGTCATCATCTCTATTACAATCTCTAACAATAGAATGTTTCATTAGTCTTTCTTACTTATCCAATGCCCTCTTTGCTAAGCACTGAATAGCCTTATCTCGGACCGAATTAATAATATCCTAGGTTCATCGCCGATTATCCTAGTTTCTTAATAAATATCGCTATTGTTACATCTCACTGCTTTGCAGGCTATATTGTAATAAACAATTTTATTTAGGTAAATAAATTTTAAACAATCTTATTTCGCATTTTTAAAAGTCTTATTACTTAATGTTGATTACTATTGCTTATACCAGCAGAGCGGTATTGTCTGGTTAAATGTTTTTCTACGACTAAATATTAATGTTCTTTGTCTATGACTCCTACACAATTCTCAATGTCTCATTAATATGTATCTATACGCTTGTGAAATGTTACATTTGCTTTGTTTTCTAGCAGTCTTTCATACCTATGGTATTGTAAAATCATATGATATTTTAATGTTTTGTTTAACTACTCCATGATCTTTTTAATAATATGACAAGCAAATCGCCTGTCTATATTGATATTGATTTCCATAATCATAGCTAAATTAAATTTGCAGAAAATACCATAACTTGATAATGCCAACACTAGCAATAGCTATTATACGATGCAAGTCAGGGTTGATTGGAATAATATCGTGCTAATGTTCCACAATATCGTATTCTGATTGAAAGATAAGATACAGACATTCAAGAAATTAGACGATAATTTTTAATTTTTAGTTAGATTTATTAAGTTAGCTAGAAATTACGAATAGGCAAACAGATCAATACTGACGAGTGTATTAATGCGTTAAGTATAAGCAACGAAATAACTGACTACTACAATAATAGATACCATCAGTATCACAACTGATCCTTTATCTGTCGTGTCAATTCATTTTAACTTGAGAAAATTACGCAGGTGCATATTTTTTTACGAGAACGTATTATTACAAGCTTTTAGGCCATTGTCCATTTTATGTACTTTGGTATCATTTCATATATGAGTGTTATTTCTTTAAGAAGTATATCTCAATTAATCGTAAAGATATACGGTAGAAGATTTTCACGAAATACTTGATCGATGTAATTTATATGCGCTAAGGCTGACATGCCGTAAGCATCCTTGGCGATTTATTACAATCATGACCTACATATGTTAAAATTTATGGATTTAAGCTGAAAGATGTAATAGATCTAACGCGAATCTTGATTAAATTTTAAAATTATTTCTGTTATGTAGGATAAATACGCACTGTAGTAATTAAATCCAGATCAAATACAAGTAATGAGTTGTCAACTACAACAACTGTCTAAAGAAAGTATCGGATATTTCCAGTATTCGATTAAAATCGACCAGAATTATTCAATTTCAGGCAATGAATCCTAGCGAGAAATAATTACTCTGACGCAGTTGATCAATTTTATATTATCAGTGTTAAATTATGAGGAGACACATCGAAGTTTATAGTAACTAAACGAAAAGTTAAAATGTAGACAAATGTGTCATGTAATAAAGAAAGCGTCAACATAAAGTCTAGACTACCAATGGTAATTGTATATAGAATAGATATAAGTGTTTATTTAGATAATAAATCAAGAAATCGTATTTGCTTCCAAAGTCAAATCAAGTAGAATTCACTTCGCGTTTTTAGTTTGTGTTAATTATGAATTAATAATGAGCTTCTTTTCTGAAAATTCTTAATCACACCGGGCTATCATGATACATAGAAGTACATTTATATATTATTAAATTTGGTATATAACGTTAATAGAAATTATGGCCATATCAAATCCGCCAACCTAACCCATTCATCGTCAGGGTTCAAATAATAAATTTGGATCAGCTATAATAATGACTATGATAACATTGATTGCCAAAATGGATTTACAAAGAAACACGCCAAGCGCTATGGTTGACTTGGCTTTCCTCCTTAATTGATTTGAATATTTGATAATAGGTATCATATTGTGCTGGTACCATAGAATATTTCAACTTTTGCTTAGATACACTAGATTAACTGTTTGTATCCATTTCCAATGATGATAATAAGAGAAAAACTGATTTCAGTAAGCCATAACCATAGAATGAATTTACCGTAATCTCAATTCTAAATCTTAAATTGACGCATTTTACTTAGTTTATGAAACGATAAGTTATAATAATTGAATAGCTATTATTTCAGAAGCTAAATTTATATCACCAACCTAGGTTAACTAAATGTTGATTTATTTACGTAGTAACTGTACTAATTGATAATTTAATAGTATACTATTCATTAATTAAGAAAGAAATGCTTGAATAATGCACAGAATTTAGTGGTAGTTACCAATTATGAAGGTTTTAATGAAAGGTAAAGATATATTAAAGTTAATATTTTATATATGCTAAATGCGTATTTGGTCTTTAGTAATACGTTGTCAAGTTTCTTTAACGGATGTCGCTAGTCAATAACAATTGATGAAAGTTATATGATATGTCGATTATAGGTGACAATTGTTAGACGGAGAGAGATTGTTAGATGAAGTGAAATAGTATATTTATCAGGGAATGATGTAATTATCATCGGCACTAGTCACCTNTAATACATATGTTAACTAAAAGCACAACAACAGATACCAAATTTAGTGTTGGGGTAGATTTNTAGGCTATTTCCTAAAATAGGTTAAATTTTTTAAGATATGGATAAAGGCATGTAGTTTTTTTAGCTTAGTAGTGTAGAACTACTGCTTGCTCGAGCTCGTACAGTCTTGCATCGCCAAAATAAGGACATAACACCATCGCGTAAGTTTTTGTTGAAAAATCCGTAAATGATTGGGCTAGCGACTGGATTCCATGATGCTAAATAAAATAGCCATTCCCGTACGTGATATTTATTTAGTCTGCGTGATAGAGTTTTATCTAAGACATTGATTACTTGGTAGACATTATAAGGTGTTTGTAAGAACACATAAACTCCGACAACGATTGCTACAGTTTTGACGGCTTTTAAACCAAAAGGCGAAGAAGTAGAGGTGGAACTGGATTGATTTTCAGCTCTTATCCTACTAGCGTGATCTTTTGCAACCAAAAAGATCCGAACATAGAAGATAATAGTGACTATAGTAGGAAGCAGAAACATCAAGAAGGCCCAAAATACGTGCCATGCTTGTAAGCTTATCCTACGATTTGCCTTTATTTCTGACATTAGACAGTAATAAGGGCAGAAACGCCACCAATCAATTATCAAGGGCAAAAATGCCACAAAAGTAGGTAAAATCCAACAAATTAGTAAAATGATACCAAACATGACCGATTTGTAAACACTGATTTGATTATACCAGAATGGAGATGTGATGGCAATGAATTTCTCTAAGCTGATAGAACAAATATGAAAATTCATACAGCAAACGAAAGCAAATTGGATAACATTATGGGATAATTGGCAATAAATATTAGTAAATGGGTGAATAGAATTCCCAATAACCATGATTTTAACCGGTAAAATATATAGAAAGCAAAATAAGATATTGGCGAGGCATAGACTTCCAACTAGTACACTACTGTGTGTCCATAGTGATTTTTTAAAGCAAATAACACCCACTAATAAAGCATTTGGGACTAATATAATGATGAACAAAATACTCCATGTAATGATTAAATCGATCTCGAATTGAGATATTGGCCGATAAACGAGGCTTGTTAGATTGAGTTTAAGAAAAAATCGAACATCTGGGCAAATTGTGTGGGTTAGCGCTGACATTTTGATTTAATAAAGTTGACAAACGATTTCTTTCGTCAGCTTTTCTCTTAATAAAAGGTTTAATAAGATTTAATTCTGGAGTTACTTACTGCCACCAGATAAGCCAATGTTGTAATAAAGATCTAAAGAGTGAGCAAATGTTAAAAATTAAAGAAGACTTGAAATTATGATTAGCTCTGATACATATCCTTGCACGCTAAATTTCATAGTAGTGCAATTAATTTAAGAATAGATGCTGTAATCTAGTTTGGTTCATTTCTAGTCTAGGAATAAATTAATTAATTCGCTAGCTATCAATATTACTTACCAATATTCAATTATTGTCTTGATCTTTACCAGAGCAAGAACCTGACACCAAATCAGTTGCTGTCCAAATGGATGATCTCTGTTTTACCGTGATATTAAAGAATACTAATATCAACCTGGCTATATACCAAAAGAAAAGGTTTATGTTTTAATTAAATTCGTTTTACATACTTTTGATGACTCGCTTTTGTTTCTTATTAATACTTTCTATTAAGTAAAAACAATCAAAAATAATAATAAGAACAATAATTACAGTCAATTTATTGGAAAATTATTAATATAGACATCTCTAATTCAGCGGAAGAAGACCTAATAGTTACCACAGTAACCAAAATTCTATAGCTATCGAATTGAAATATTTTAATCATTTTGATTAATAATAATAAGCATAGTGAAAAATGAAGTTTAATATCCAAAAATGCTATCAATAAATTATAGCGATCTTCTAGAAAGAGAGTATTCACTGTACCGTACGATATTATAGAAGATAAATCGTTTCATTTCAAAGTTTGTATTAATGTAGTATAATAACTGAATATTTACGACTATCCTGTTATTGAAATCGATTTTAATGGCTTGGTAAATATTGTTGTATACTAATCAGAGATTATACTGTATTTTAATAGCAATATCGTACTGTTGCCTGGTTTATTTTTGGAATATACAATACTTCAGCCAATACAATGTAGAAAAATATTAATAACCACTATAAGGAAGTAACATTATTCTACATCTGCGGACAAAAACATATTGATTTGATGAAGAACTGTGCGGCTAATATTGTTTCCCATGCTTTATTCTTTTTTATTTGTCTATACTCTAATGAAGTTGAAGCTGAATTTTCCGTAATGTTATTCAGAAACTTAATATTATAACTTGAAACAATAAAATGACCTATGGTCTTAATTACACTTACTATTAATATTGACTAAATTTAATTTTTTTTTCAAAGGATAATTATTTCGATATCTAAAATTGTGAAAGTTTTTTATTTAAATTTTAATTGATTTATTTAAAAATTCAAATAAAATATTCTAGAGGTATTTAAAATCGTAACCTTTAGTGCTAAGTAACTAACGAAAGGTATGTTATTGGCTAAAGCAAAGAATAAAAGGTCCTTAACTGATAAAACTACTGTAACTGTAGCTGTCATCTTATTATGGTTAGTTAAATATACGTTTGAGAAATATTAAAGTAAATCATTTGATGAATCAATGAATCAATAAATCAAAATAATTGTAATCCAATGTATTTAATGTATCTAGCTCGTAGTGCGTCAATATGTATTCTATCATTTCGTCTATTCTATGGTATAATCACCGATATTATATCGGCTTGGAGCAGCTGGTTTTACTGATGCTTTGTTAATTTAGCTCGTACACCGGTAGTTAATAAATATCATACGGAACTTTTAAAGACAGTAGTAAATAATTTTTAAAATAGTTATAGTCTAAGAATTATAGAAGGCATAATTAGTTTAAGCGGTATACAATTCTGCAATTATATTCATACTTTCAATAGAGGTTTATAGTGATGAATCACATTCAATTTTATGCATGAATTCTTCGATATTGGCAGCAAAAACGATTTAGAAGTACCGTAAAACTTATGCTGATGAATTGTAACAAAAGATTATTACGATGCGGGTAACCAACTTTTGACAGATAAATAGATATGATTATCTGTTTGCGAAGGAAAAATACTGGTTTGATGAACAACCGGTATTAACCATCTTCACACTATTATAAGTATATTTTGATTTCAATTTATGTATTAAGCATACAGAATAAACTGAATGAAGTCTGTCAAAATCATGACCAAATAAAATGCTATGGAAGCTATTGCTAGAATTAAAGCTATCACAACTGGAAATTACTGTGCCTGTTATAATATCTTAGTAAGAATAATTAATATTTTCTATGGGTAGCCGCGCCTTATTTAGATTCCCTGGCCTAGGATCTTTCATAAAAATTACATTCTTATGATAAGAAAAATTTTTTCCCACGGTTGTCTTTAGAAGTATTACTGACGTGCCGCAATGTTTAATTGAAATAGTAACATGATTACTTAAAATTTTGAATGTATTAATGAGATAATTGCTGAACTGAAGATAATATTGACTTTGTAAACTTTTTGTCAACTTTAATAAAAAATTTAATAAAATATCAACGATTATATTGTACTATTAATAATGATTAAAATTCCGTAATGTTTGCGGTTCTCATATATAGTGCTGACTGCAATTTTTTGATCATATTTTTACAAACAAGCTATCAGTTCAAATAAACTAGCATAAAATCCCGAGTAAGCTTTACTGTATTACAAGTTGGCATATACCTGTCAGATAAAGTGATTTTGGAAGCTGTATAATTAAAGGGACTAATATTACGTAAGTCAAATCAATCAAAATTTTCCAGTTCTAATTTATGATTCATTAGGGTGTCAATTGCTACAATAGCATTTAATGAATAAGTAATTTCTCCATAAAATGACTTTCAACATTCATAAACCAAATTTTGACGAAAGAATAGGAGGAAGGCCGTCATTTCAAATGATCAGCCAATAATAATCTTTTACATACTTTATAATTCATTATAATGGACCCGTTGGTTTCCTTAGAAAATATTTTACCATTATTAAATGTTATTGGATTGAAGGAACCATATCGGCTATCTTATTACATTAACAGTAACAAGTAAGTGATTCATGATGGTATTCAGTAGTAGAAATTTAAATTAATTATAGATCTTTATAATAATCACATCGATTGAGATCATAACAAATACGGCTTTTTTGCTATTATACAAGCCAAATTCATTTCACACTATCACCAAGTTTTCATTCTTCATTTAATTCCCAATCAAAACTACTACTAATTATAAGTTATAGCTTTCTAACTCCTTTAGCACTCAAATAATCAACTTAACAACAAACTATGATGGATTTGCTGTTTACAATCGGTAAACCCGGAAAATTTTTACATATTTAAGCAGAAAGTAATATCTTGAACTATCTAAAAATATCGGGAATCTTTTCATATATTTCAATCAGCCAATCAACTTCATTTTGACTCTAACAGCTCCTACACCATTAGCACAACAACATTGAATTCGTTTACCTCTTAAGCAAAATATTTTAGCGCGGTAATAATCTATTTTTCTTATTTATTACGACTATTATAGAGCCGATCCAGATTTCAACTTTGTAAATTGATCATAATGTTTCAGTAATCATTATAGAAATCCAATTTTGGTAATTTCATAGAGTAACTATCATCATGCTTTACATACTTTTCAATAAAACATAGCGGTCTTAACCAAAGTATTTTAGTTCGGGAATAATTAATTTCTTACTAATTATGACTATTATAGAGCCCATCGAGATTTCAACTTTGTAAATCGATCATAAAGCTTCAATAATTAATCATTGTAGAAATCCAATTATGGTAATTTCATGAGAGTAGTTATCATCATGCTTTACATACTTTTCAATAAAACATCACGGTTCATAATTAGAATTTATACAGTATCTAATTTTCAAAGTTATAACAGACATTAGCTCATGATATAATGAATTTGTGGCATAATGATTCATGCTATGATACAGTTCCTAAAAGTTCTCAAGACTTGCAATCTTCGTTGTTTTGATTATTTATGTTGCTATGTTGCACAAATCACAGCATATACAAAATTTATAATAACAATCTTTAATGCAAGTTGTATTTTTGTTTAAATACAGTATATGGCATCAGTTAAGTATTCTTTTACTCTCCTATGTTTTGGAGGCCGACAGTGTCATTCAAAAAAGAGCTAAAGGCAGATGGAAATAACATAATTATATACAATTCTGACAATTATTTTTCTTAAAATATGGGTATTACAGCCTTACTATTTTGAGAATAAGAAAGTAAAAGCATGAGAAAGAGTGTAAGTTATAAAATATTATATAAAATAATTCTGTTACTTTTGCAGTTAGCTGTAAGCAATGATTACATTCTTTGTAGTAACGACGATAATATTTAACTTTTAAAAATATTAAGTGATTTAGTTAATTTGATTGTTATACAATAGCCAAAAATTGGTCTTATTACCAGGAAATTAATGGAAACATTTCAATACAAACTTCGTAGCTGCTACAAGCAAAACTATACTCTCGTTTATGATCCATAGCTGCCCTAATAGCCTTTTATGGTGTATTCATGTAAAGGAATTTCTTAATTTATGCGATTTTAATTTTATTCTAGAGAATCATTTATTGCTATCGCTATATTTTATTCGGAAAGCGAAGAAAATCTGTCGACAAGAGTTATTTTTTATTTTAATATCTATAAGAATCCTTGTAGGGGCAGAAATATACCAAAATGTAATATATTTTAAAAATTTATCGAAATTTTCCATTTTACAATATTTTACGTAGTGGCGACAACTAATATTGCGCACTCTGTCTACTCATTTAATCATTAGATAGCGATTATGTCAATTTCTTAAAACTTGAGTTATTGTTCTGAATGACTTTCTTAACATATTAAGAATTTTTAAATTATTACTATCCTCATATATCAGCCAAAAAACGAAGAATATCTAGTGACAAGAAGTATTTTAAAGTTTAGTATTTGTGGTAATACTACGACCAACAGAAGTCTACGAAAGCGCAATAACTTTTAAACTTTTATCGAATTTTTTCACTTTAAGATATTTCTTGTGTAGTGATGACAATTATTTTATTTTATTTACTCTGTTTGCTACTTTAATTAATAGATCGCGATTACGTCAATTTACTAAAATTGAATTACTGAATGGCATTATTAAAGCATTGAGAATTTTTTGCCTTAGTATTGACGCATTCTCATAGCTGCTGTGTATAATTAACTGCAATTAAGAAATGAATATCTCTTGAAACAAAACGTGCAGTATAAAACGTATGCATATATCTTTATAATATACGATAATAGCGATAATTTTGATCCAGTAAAGATCGTTATTCTTAAGCTTTTTACTAATTCTATTCAAGAACCGTATGACTCAATTCTTATTTTCCATGGAAATGCTGTGAAATACTGCTTAGTTTTTTACAGCCTGCTAACATCATATGAGGCAATTTTATTGGTTCAAACCGATGACGAGTTGAAAGTAATTTGTATTTATGTATAACGAAAAGCAGCTCTGTGCTGCTAATTCTGGCTATTAATAACTGTTTTGTAAAGTAATAAATGAAACCTTAGGCTAAGAATTACTGTGACTCATCGCAAAACATTCCATTTACAGTTTAATAATTTTACTCAAGTCGATGGTGGAAACAATTTAATAACTTAAAAATTTCTCTATTATTAAAATAATTTCACTAGTTTAAAGCTTGATTATACTAGCCGAATAGGTGCTTTTCCACTATACGGTATCCAGACACATTTGAATTTTAGATCCGGTTCTGATACAGTAATTGTTCATTCCTAAACCTACCAAAATGGTTGTTTGATCATTTGAGAGCGTGAGATTCTTATTTCCATGCAATGATGACATTGTCATGGAACTGACTTTACTATAGAGACTTTAATTTTTGAATGATACTTCACAAGCATATCAAGCTTTAGATTTAGTGGGCAAAAATTTATTTTGTTTTCGGTGGTCTTAACTAAGGTGTTCTGTAGTACTGGATTATACCATAATGGATTAAAATATATCAGTTACTAATGATTCTGCCATTTCGAAATAGCTTGGTAAGAGAATAATGTTATAATCTATAAGTCAACTCTCTGGACCATGTATATCTGTTCAATTAGGAATTCTATTTCAACAGAAAAACTTCCACGCCTTGTAGATATTTTAAACACAGGTTTTCTAGAAGACTAGAACTCTCGTGATTATACTATGAACTGCGATTTAAAATACAATATACTTCTATGATAGTTCATAAGTCCTAGTTAGTACTATTACTATTGAAGCATTTACATGAATTAGAGACTGATCTTACATTTACTTACCTAATAAAGGTCGTAGTATTGACATTCATTAATCACTAATGACTAATACAAAACAATCAAATTACACTATATCCATACATGAAATGTTCTCCAGATACTCTATGTAAGGTTCGTAATATAAGTTCTAAGTTTTAATGAGATCGTACAAATGTCCACTTCCATGTCTAGGGATCAATACGTAATTGAGTATTATTATCATTGTGTGGTAATAGCTAGTTTATTGCCGAGACCCACGCCTATTTTCGGATTCCTACGTTACAGAGTAGTAATCTATAACCTACCGTAACAATGACTACTAGAAGAAGACTTAATCTTCTTTCTAGTCCTTTCTAGTAGTCCTTGGCTATATGTTAGTCATAACGATTCCAACTGTGAGTAGATTATTCTCAACCCCCTTATATGACTATTAGTTTGAGTATCACTCTCTCACAAAAAAGCCTGTGGTACATTGAAGTACAGTATATCTAAATTAGAAATTGATTAAATAAGGGTAAGCAAATGAAATTGGCTTTACATACATATTTCTACTCTAATCTCTGCGTTACAGTGTTATAACACTTATAACACTGTAACATCAAAATCATATTATCGCAACAGTGTAAGCGTCTTGCTGTTAGAATAAATGCCATGAAATTTCCACGAGCTAGGCTAGTTTGTATTATAACATTAACAAAATATTTCAGTTTTACATATCCAAACATAACAGCGAATTGGGACTATTATTTTGTGATTTTTTTTCAACCGAAATGATAACAAGATAAAAATAGCTATGCTTCCTAAAGTAACTACAATAATATTGTTTATTTATACGATAGTAGAAAAAGGTAGAACCTAATGTGTGACTTGTTTGGTGTAAATGTTAATGTCTAGACGTAATTTATATGGACTTTGGAACTTAAATATTATAGTAGGATCAGGCCTGCTGTGTTAGGATAAATATTTGTAGCACAGACGTAAACAGCGTAGCTATATAAGTAGATTAGAAAATTGCTAGATAGATGAGAGATTTAGAACCATAGAGGAATATAGGATGGAACAGAAACCCATCGAAAGTGAGAGAAGATAGTAGGAATCAAGATATATTAGCACAATCCTTTTAACGTAGAGAAATAATTTCTGTTAACTAAATTATCGAAAAATCCTCTATATTATTGTGGAATTTGAATCTGATTAGTCTAATTAGATAAAATCAAGTTTCTTTACAGTGGGATTCCAATATCACTTTATGATCAACAAGATGTCGGTTGACTTAAGCGTTTAATGTTATGACATCTTCATATCCAGCTAGATTGTCGCCTAAATTAGCACATTATGAGCGTAAAACGAGAAACGACTTCCTCAAACATTTTATAAATTCCGATTAAGCAATTTATAAACTGTAATTAGAATTTAGGCGATCTAGCGGTATATAAGAGTGTAGTATACTTAGATAAAATATTTTTATAAACAATAATCTTATTAATAGAAACAAATGTACATTTCAATATTAATCACAAGTCTTTATTTCTACCTTATTTAATTAATATTTCATAAACACTACTAGGTACAAATATCACGTAGTGTTATGGTTTTTCTAATGCATTCAAATCTTTGTATTGACAGTAACGTCATACGATATCAATAACTAAATAGTTGAATATTATCCTGTATTGGTATGAAAGAGCAGATAACGCAAATAAACACTATTAAATTAAGTGTTGTACAGTGGATTTACTTATTACAGAACTTATACAATGTTGGCGAAATGTTATAATTTTAGATCAATATGTAGTCGATATGCTTACATGATTCTAGGGATAGCATAAATCATATTAATAATTCCTTTATCATCGAATAATTTACCTTCCGTATTACAAAGTCGATCCTTTTACCTATGGGATCAAATCAGAACACCAGTTAACCCATAATGACTGATATCGAAATTAATCAGAGAATTGAGAAATAATTGAACGCTGCAAATATACATATTGGATTTGAATCCATCCTATAGAAGACTATTGAAGACTTAGAATTGTGATAAATTTAATTTCCAGGAACATATGGTAGTATTTAATTATTAATATGGTACTCAGTGAAATCTTTAATATTAAATTTCAATTTCTAAAACAGCTTGGACTGGAAGCACAACTTTGCAAACCGTCAATCATTAGAACTTGATCATATCTGAATTTAATACAGCTTAAACAATATTTACAATTTTAAACTTGTTATTACAACTGGCATATTAAATATAATAAAGACTTACGTCTATTTTAATACAAAACCAAGAATAATTATCAACATAATTTCTTGTCCTATATATTTTATTGTCTAAATTTTATATTGTCCAAGCAGTGTATTATTAATTCAATGCTTTATTCAATATCTATTGGTAATTACAGGCTGATAATGTGAGCGATAATTATTAAGCAAGAAAGATTATAAATCATAACTACTATAATTTGATTATTAATGCACTACTTTATTCAATAATATTGGCAATCATAGGCTGATAGTATGAGCGATATTTATTGAGCAAGAAAGATTATAAATATATAACTATCATAATATTATGAATTAGTGATAATTTCTCTAATAGCTGTTTTGAAGGTAATTCTTTTTAGCTTAAAATGGGCGTTTATGATTAATATTATCTAATAATAATACCATTAGTTAAAATAACAGATTTTGCTACGTAAATAAGAAATAAATTCTTATCACAGAGATCGATACCGTGAAAAACTTTAAGAAAGGGCAAAACACTAATATTCATCAATCAAATTTAATAGTATAAAGATTTTAGCAAATACAATTCATTTTTAATTAAAATGTATAGATAATAGTACATTAGTACGATATTTAGAACATTCCATAAGTATTCTAAACCTTATTTTGAATGCTCATATTTGTTTAAAAATTGTGTCAAACTTTTTTTCTACATATTTTCTAAAGTTATATTATCATCAATATGCATTCTATCTGTTATTAGTCAAGGTTACTAATTTTGTATTGCTATCATTGATATACTATAACAATGAGTAGCTTCTAGACATGGTTATGTAGCTGAAGTTGAGGCACGTAGAATGTAGTTACACTTTCAATGTGATTAAAGAAGTAAATTGAAATAAGATCTAACACCGAGATCATCTTTTACCGTAAATTAAATTATCTGCTAACTCTAGAAATTGATTTTTCTATTTTTAATAAATCTGATGATATCCCCTAAACTGGTACGTTTATAGTACATAAAATGACAAGATTAGAATAATCGTTGATATTTTCTCTAAGGTTACTTTATACTAAGGTACATTAATCTGTTGACGTTAAGATATTAACCAACAATATTGAGTATAGTTTCAGTTATAGTTGCTGTCCTATCAAACCATTTAATCATTACCCTCTTATAAAGTTGGAATCTTGTATCTTTAATACTATGTAAACCTGTATTAAAGATGGCGTAATCAAGAAGTGATCAATATTAATTGTCGTTAAATTAAAAGCGTTCGACAATAGTTGTGCTAAGTCCGGTTCGTGGGCCATGAAGACGTCGAAAAAACGAGAGAACACCATCACGTAAATTTTTATTGAAAAATCCGTAAATAATTGGGCTAGCTACGGAGTTTAAGGAGGCAAGGTAGAATAACCATTCCCGTACATTAAGTCTATGAACACGTAAACCTAGCTCTTTATCTATAGTAGCAAGAAGTTGATAAACGTTATAAGGCGTTTGAAGTAATAAGTAAACTCCAACAACTATAGCTACAGTTTTAACTGCCTTTAGAGCAATGGATGGTGTATTCGTAGGCGAGCTTACTTGACTATCAGCTCTTATTCTAGATACATGATCTTTAGCAACCAAGAAAATGCGAATGTAAAATATAATGGTCACAGAAGTTGGTAATAAAAACATTAAGAATGCCCAAAATATGTTCCATACTTGTAAGCCTACTCGACGATTGGCTGTCATTTCCGATAAAATGCAAAAATAAGGACATACGCGCCACCAGTGAATGATTAATGGCAGAAATGCAACCATAGTAGGTAATATCCAACAGACTAATAGTATAACAACGAACATAACAGACTTGTAGACGCTAATTTGATTGTACCAAAACGGTGACGAGATTGCAATAAATTTCTCTAGACTTATGGAGCATATATGAAAGTTCATACAACAAACAAAAGCAAATCGGATAACATTATTAGACAGTTGGCAATAGATATTGGTAAATGGATGAATAGAATTTCCGATGACTATAATTTTTACCGGTAATATATAAATGAGGCAGTATAATACGTTAGCAACACATAAACTTCCAACTAATATACTACTGTAAGTTCTTAGCGAACGTTTGCACATAATGACAGCTACCAAAAATGCGTTTGGGATTATTATCGCTGTTAATAAAATACTCCATACGATAATCGAATCGGATTCGAACTTAGTCAGTGGCCGATTAACAATAGTAGTAAAATTTAATCGTAAAAAAAAGCGAACATCTGGACAAGTTGTATGAGTTAACGACATTTTGATTGAAGATCGATAGAAAAATCTTTCCTCTTGTTGCTTTGATAACGGAAGGAAGATTAGCTGCGAACGAATATTTCAAAACCTTTTACTTTTAATGATTATAACGGACGATTGAAGGCACAACGTCGTATCGAGCTGTCAAGGATTGGTCTTTTAAATTTTATTTATATCTGGCAAGGGAAGAGTGGAGTATAAGATATATGCTTATGTTAAGGTTTATAACGAATTAATTTCATTGTTCTATCGAATGATATCTTTCACTTAAAGTATTTACTTCCAATGGTTGAATAGAGATTGTATTATCCGTAAGTAAATTGACTAAAATGCGTAATTAATATTTATATTTATTAATTAATGACCTTTTCTCAGTTATCTAGCCAAAACAATTGTTAAGAAATTATAACAATCCTATTTAATACAAAGAAGATTTCCTGTTTTGATATTTCAAGCTACTATTGAATTGCAATGGCTATGTATTATTTATAAATTTAATATCATATTCCGTTACTATAATATTAATATATTACTAAAAAATCCAATCAATTTTAGGGTAATAGGGATTTAAAAATTCTTTTATAAAGGTGAATATATAATCATTATAATTAGGCATATAAAATGATTTCAGCGGAAACTTAATGAAGCTGAAATTGAGTTCCGTTCAATATTTATTAGGACAATAAAATAAATTCTACGTTTAATTTTTAATGTTTCGGTGTGATCTAAATTAGGTCATGTGGTTGGTAAAGTTATATTATCAATAGTTGAATACCTTAATAATACCCGTAGTCCTTTGATGTTATAACAATAACTTATATTATTGGTGATGCTGATACCAATTTCAATACTATTTTAAGTCTGAGTTGTGCAATTGTACATTACGTTGAAAAGTAAATTTCGCCAATAGTACTATACATTGTATATATATATATGTACAACTATAGTTGGATATTGTGCAAATATACATAAATAGACTGTAGTTTGATATTGTATATAGTTCATATATATATAACAACTGTAGTAGGATATTAGCTTGATTTGAATAATAGGTATTATTATGACCATTGAGCCAAATGTTTTAACTAGAAATTCAAATCATGTATGTTAATTTTTATAGAGGCCGTCCGGGCTTGGCCTTGCATAGCACAACGATTATGTGACAGCTATCTAACATCTCTCAATATGCGTGATTACATGAAAGCTTTTGAAGTGCAGTCACTGCTGAAACAATATGGTTGTAAACTTCACTAATTCGCATAATTAACTCAGAGGCTTTTGTTTGGTTAGACAAGTCTGATATAGTAAACACACTTTCATATAGCACTATCCACCGTACGAAATTATTTGGAGTTATGTGGGAAGAATTGTACCGTCAATGGCTGTTGCTGTCCAAGTAGTAATGTTTATAGATTGTGCCTTTAACAGTTATTTGCACAATATTTAAATTCTAATGTACCATTAGAAGTAGCTAATTATTGAATTTGGTGTTTTTTGAGTTCGTTGCTGTAGTGTATGCTTCTAAACGCGGTTTGCACTAGCCTATTCTAAGTAAAGATTAAACTTCCACTAGACTATAGCATAACTCCTTACTTGTGCAATCTATATTTGACAATTCACATTGTGGAAATTTAATTATACTGTACCGTACTCTAACTTGATTGTATCGTAGAACTGTCCCCAATATAGAAGTAAGAAATTCTTATTAGCCATTCGTATTTTAAAAATGATAATTTGCTCCTGTTGTGCTTGTTACATTGGTAAAAGCTATTTTCATGCATCTATCTTATTAGTTAGAGATATTAGTACACAGAGAGCTTGCATACTTTAGCTATTCTATTTTAACATAGCTATTCGATTAATCATGTTGTATTCACGCTGTAACCTTACTCGGTTATCTTCTTCATATTAGCTCAATAAAGACTACTTTTCACTAGTCATTCTTTTGTATTTTAATTGCGATAATAACGGACGCTCAATCTTCTGAAACATCATTGTTGCCATCTAATTTATTTCATATTGGTACTCGGTGTGTATAGTGTTTATTAATAATCATAGTGAATCATATAAATCAGTTAAAATCATAATTGAATTTGACAACTAGTACAGTAAATCGATAGGCGTGAACAACATGGTTAGTGATAATAATTATATTGTAAACATTTAAAAAAGATTAAGAGGGTGAAATTTCTGAAACTTTAAGAAAAATTTAAATTTTCACGGTATTTAGTAGTGAAGATCTTGATAAACTTATAAATAGTGCACAGCTGCTTAGATTGAACGCAGAAAGTAAGGAAAATTTCTGTTTATTTTATATGGACCCCAAAACTATTTCTAAAAATGAAGTATAAGAACGACTCATTAAGATGATTGCTTTGCTACCTTTACGAAAACTTGGATTAAAATACAAAACAACTACAGTATGGTGGATAGCCTAGACATCGTAGTAGTAGACACTCTATATTAGTGCTTCATTTCCATAGTGTGTTAAACTAATTATTTGCTACACGAATTCTCCTTTTTATTATACGTAGAAACTCCGTTATTAGACCTACAAGGTACGCACACTTGGTATAAGTTAAACTGGTTACATTGTAAATTATTAATTAAACTAAATTATGAATTGTGAGGTTATATAATTTAGACTTCTGAAAAACAAGATCCATCTAGCTATAAGTTATCCTTTCCATGAAAGCAGTGCAATTTATGCTAGGAGTGTTCCGACAGATATGATTAATAAAAACATTAAACTGTACCTATATTCATAATTTTATGAATAGCTATGACGGAATGATTCATCAATAAAACACAAATTTACCGCCTACGTATGCTTAAGTCGTCCTATTACACAAAAGAATAAGAATTTATGGCTTTCTGTTGTATAGTAAACATCGTTTGGATATGACATAATGCACACATACATACTGTATAATAAAGGAGTAAACTTGAATTTCGACATAGCCCCTAGGCTACAACATTTCAAGTGTAAACTGAACTACATCGGATATTGACTTAACAATGGATCTAATGGACGATATTGGTATGAATTGGGCTATTTGTCGCTTAGATGATGGCGTAGTTAAGGTGCTAAATGACCTTGTGTTCTTATTCCCTTTAGAAAAACGAAAATTACTCTCGTAATGATACAATATCATAAAACCTTCTATCGCTTTGGATAAAGTGGAGGATGACAATGCATACTGGCCCCGTAGTTATACAGGCATTTTTTATGATAATGAATAACATTTTTGGCTTTAATGATGAGCCTAGTATTGATATGGTGATAGATTAAATGGTCTTTATGAAAAATGTCATCAAGTGATGTAAATATCGCTCTATTTGATCTTTGTAAGCATAATAATGAAATATATGATTTAATTGATGTTGACAAGTTCAATGATTAATTGATAGTCAGTTAATGGTGCAATATCGTCTAATTACTTTATAAACTCTTTTTTATTTATTAATCAATATCATGCTTTGATTGTGCCTAAAACGAAGCTTCCCGTACAGTTACATGGAGCATTTAGGTAGTATGTTTACAGCTTTACTTAAAAATTAGGGAATTTAGTGCTTGATTCCAAACCATTAGGGCTCGTACCAATAAGGCCCATAAATTTAACTTGATATTGCTTTATAGCAACCTTAGCCAATTAATACTACATGGCCAATTATGGATCTATTTCTAGAAGAAATAGTCAAATTCTTTCATCATCAGTTTTACGCGTACACAATAGCTATATGTATAGCCATACAGTATCCTCACATGTCTAAGAGTTCCTATCACCGAATACTTTCTTTACGAAAAGTTGTAGTCGACCAGCATTCAATAATTATAATTGCTGGCTCATAGACTAGTAAAAAGATATACTTGTAGTCAAGTTCTTTCATTACCAGTTGTATATGATAGCTATACACATAGCCAGCCAGTACATTCATGAGTGTAACAGTTTCGATCACGGAATGCATTTCTTTATAAATGGTTGTTGTTGATCAGCATTTAATAATTGCAGGCTCATAGACTAATAAATAGAAATAAATGTAGTCAAGTTCTTTCACCACCAATTGTATGAGTATATGATAGCTATACGTATTGCTAATGTAACAGTTTCGATCACGGAGTGCCTTTCTTTACGTAAAGTTATTGTCGAGCAGCATTCAATAATTACTTGCCCATAAACTAATAAGTAACTTCATGTCGGACAATCCTGATTTTTCTTACCTTATTCTGTCAATAAAAATTTGGTTCACAACAGAGGCTAGCTTAGATTTATAATTTCCTATCGAATTTTTTACGGAAAATATACTATATTGAACGCTGTACTCTATAATTTCACTTCTGATAATCTGCAGTAAAGTAAAATGCTAGATTGACTATTATGGTTAAAAATCGTAATAACTTAGGCTTAGAAAGGTATAACTAATACGCCATAGGGAAGCTAATGGCTAATATACCAATATATTTGATTCCATTGGTACATTAATGATGTGATCAACAGTCTACGGAACACTGCATTTAATTCATAGCAGTAATAGTGATTTCGATACTGATACCGTCGAAATAACACTTGCTAGATATACAAGTATGTTAATAGAAATAAAGTAAATTTTCGTATGTCTACTGTCATAGACAGGCAAGAATTAATTCTGAAAATCTAATTTTATTAGCAAATGTTGTAGCTGTATACAAAATTGGGGTTAGTAGTTTAAAGCAATACGGTTGAAAATATGTGTGTAAGGTACTGAGAAATTTTTTCAAGCACCTATAAATTGAAAAATGCACAGCTTCGTCTTTCAGAAATCTTAATTTAAGTAAATTTCATTGTATGTTAATTTATAGACGATCTAAATCTATTGAAGTACTACAGTAAGTTTTATGAAATGCCCTAATACAGATTAAATGCGTAAAACCGATTAAGCCAAATTATTCTAGCTCTAGGGTACCGAGTTCATACTTTTGTATTCATAAAGATTACACAAATAACATCAAATTACGTAATGATTCAAACCTTCTACTCCGTAATACTGATAGCTCTCACCACTATATTGAATGGCTTTAGTATTCTATCAGTAATAGATATTTCATTTAAAATCAGCGATTTGTAGAGCAAATCCAAGTTAAATTAAGCAGGTTTAGATTATCACAATGCGTCTTTACCAGATTGTAGTTTTTTTTTACCGCGAAACGTGCAAAGTATTCTCTTTTAGGACACATAGAGATAGGGCTTTGGTTTAAAGAAATCGAATAAATAAATTAGTAGCCTTGCGTACTAGTTGTTGAAAATTTGAATCAAACTTTTACATACATCAATCAATTAATTTCTGCTTTTATATAGTTTAACGGTGAATGAATAGCATATA